GAGTCATATGGGTTGAAAGCCATCTGATGTGGGTGCCGGGAGTCAAACTCAGGTCTTCTTCAGGATATGTTCTTCTTAACCACAGAGACTTTCCCCCAGTCCTGGGAAGGTTTAACTCTAAGAGAATTCAGAAGGGGACATGTACAAAGATGTTCACTGGAACAAGGGGTGCTGAGGCCCTTAGGGGCTAACTAAGTGCAGACCTACCATCAGGAGTGAGAAGACGAAGCCGTTTGGGGTAAACAGCCATGGAATAGAGCCCCTCGGTGTAGGTATGGCAGGAGCAGGCCATGTCCATTGCCAGCACCAAGGCACAGAAGAGGGCAGACGCAGTGGTCCGAGGCTACCTGTTTGCTTGCCAGCGTGTATCGAATCTTTCCAGGTGAGGTAGAGATGGACAGAGCCACCAGCTCCCCAGGTTTGCCCTGGAATTACACCCTTCCTTGCCCCCAAGTGGATATTTTTACTCGAGGAAATAGAACAGGGCTTCCCAGAAAAACATCCGTTGCCAGCTTCTAAATTCGGTCCATGAGGCTAGCTAGCTCTGATTCACGACACGACACTGTTTACGTTACTCGTATATTACACTGTTTAAAGGAGCTCTTTCTGCAGCAAGTTGTTTATCCTGGAGCTTTGCTCAGAGTTGTACAGTGCACTCCCGTGTCACATCTGTCTCCAGACACAGGAACAACCCCCACGTTTACAAGACTACGTGGGAAAATACTGTATCTGGAGCCCCCCACCCCACCCCGGTGACAGATGACGCCTCTCTCAGTTCTAGAAACTGTAGGCTTAGTCCAAGCTATTCTCTGACCTTCATGTCATGTGAGGCGTAATCAGACCAGTTATTTCTGAGACTGTCGTGTGTGGCAGAGAACGGGGCAGGCGCAGGTCTGCTGACGGGAGGGGATGGCGTGAGACTGATAAGAGCCCACAAAGCAGATCTGCGTTAGGGAGCCTGCTGTCGTATGTATGGGTCTTGGCGGGAGACAGCTGTGGACTACTCCTATGGAGGCCAGAAGATCACTCACCGGGCCCTCATTCTGTTCTGACTCTCCTGCAGAAGCAGGGGCATTTTAAATGTGTCCAGGCTGGTGGCCATGACTGGGGTGGCTGCTCTTGTTTGGTTGGAGGGAAAGAGGTTGCTCACGTCTAAGGGATCCATGAGCTGGGGTTGGAGAGACGGCTCAGTGGTTAAGAGTGTGTGCTTTGGTAGAGGACTTGAGTTTGGCTCCCAGCAAATGTGTTGGATGACTTAATAAACACCAGCTCCAGGGGACCTGGCATCTTCTCCCGGACCCCATGGACACCTGCACTTGTATGTGCATAGTCACACACAGACACAGACACACATGTATTTTTAAAGTAAAATTAAATTCATAAAGGGGTCTTTGGGGCCATCTTGGATGTGCACATTGTGGGACAGTGAAATTTAAACTCTGCTGCCCTCTGAATAAGACATCCACCAAGCGACATAGGCATGCTGGCTATTTTAAAAGAGACTCTTCAGGATGACCGGAAGTGAAATTGATCCCCATCTCCTTCCCCCACATCCTGTCACTTGGAAGGACCTCATCTCCCACTGCTTCCTCCCGCCCCACCCCCCTTCTTCCCACACACATCCCTCACATTCCCATCCCACGGCTGGCTGTTCATTCTCTCCTCTACAATGCTTTCCCACAGTTATTCCCAGGAAAGCGTTCCATGTCTTTCTATTTAGCCCAGAAGAGCTCTGCGACGAGAGCTTGTTCTGTTTCCCTGGCTAAAACGTGAGCCTGCCAGTGGACGGTTGTGGGGCGCTCCTGAAATCCCAGCACTCAGGAAGAAGAGACAGGAAGATCATGAGTACGCGGGTAGCCTGGGCCATTTAGCAAGATCTTGTTTTGAAGAATGAATGACTGAGTGAATGAATGAATGAGTGAACGAATGAATGAAGCATGCTGGTCAGCCGCCCACACACCTGCCACACAAACCTCCCTCTTTGTGCTGTGTTCTTTTTCTCCGCAGCATCCCCCTGCCTGATGCTAGCTGACTCCTTGCTGACTCTCTCTTACGCTCTGGATGAGCCTTCTCGGCTTTTCCACAGCTCTGCTTGCTTCCTACTGCACAGTCCCGTTTCTTCTCCTGTCCCCGCCTCGGGGCAGTAGGGACCAGCTACACTTCGTCCATCACGTTGACATGTTCTTTCGTCAGCAAAGACAGAGCCTTGTTTTGCCCATCCCACCCCCAGATGATGATGCCCTGTGGCCTTTCATTTGGCACAGCCAGCTTTAGAAGGAAATGACCTTGGCACTCAGAACATTGGTCAGCTGATGGCTGCCGCCTCAGGAAATGATGAAGGCCTGTTGGCAGGAAAGGAAGGCAATATTTATTTTCCTGTCCTATTTCTGTGCCCAGTATGGTGTCTTGCATAAATCAGGGGCCTAAAATATCCTTGTGAAATGACTGAGTTCCCTTAAACCTCGACTAGTGATAATTTTATTTTATTTTATTTTTTTTTAGGAGTTGGGAGAAACATTAGAAGGACCTTAAACCATTAATTATGCAAAAGTAAGGTTTCACTTGTTTGTGGAGACTGTCTCCTGTAGCTAGGCTGGCCTTGAACATCTGATCCACCTTCCTTTATCTCCTCAGGGCTGGGATTGCAGGCGTGTGCCCCCATGCCTGGTTTATGTAACTCTGGGGATTCAGCCAGGACCTCTCTTTTGTATGCTAGGCAAGCAGTCTCCCAACTCTCCTGACACCTCAGCCCCAGTCGTTCTGACTTTTGATGAGTGTATACCAGCCACTGTTTTATGAATAAATCCAAGGTTCAGAGACATTTCTGTTTAATCATTCATAACTCTTCAAGTTAGCTAAGCCTTGTTTGTGTGTTGGTTGGTGTCGTTTCCAATTCCCTCTTCACATTTTGGCCATGGGGGCACAGGACTTGGTACTGAATCCAGGACTTCGTTCTGGCATAGAAGGCAAACAGTCTATCATGACCCCAGCCTTCCATACACTTGGAAATAAGACAAAACCCAAACCAGGGAGGTGGTTAGCCAAAATAAAGCCAGTTGGCATGGAAAACTAACTGTAATGTGATGCTCATGACGGGAGAGTTTAGAAGTTCGTGTGTCCCGAACTCTATCTTCGTTCTACAAACACTTACGGGAGGGAGGCCGGTGATTACATGACGTTCACAGACGGCAGACTGAGCTAGCTCCTGACAGGCCCGCATCGCGAGCTCGTGATCCCAGTTACCTGGGAGAATGAGGGCGGAGGATGGCAAGTCAAGGGCTGCTTAGGCTACAGAGTGGGTTCCAAACCAGGCAGGGCAACTTGGTAAGCCCATGTCTCAATATAAAAAGCGAAAAGAGAGCCCACCAGTAGAGTGCTTGCCTAACACGTATGAAACCCCAGGTTCAATCCCCAGAACCATACCCCCCCCCCCCCAAAAAAAAAGAATTTAAAAAATTGAGCCAGCATCAGACAGAGCTAGAAAGTAAACCTTGTCCGGCGGACTAAGGAGCGTGCAAAGCCAGTGGGCGGCACAGGAAGTGGCTATTCTGGTGGGAGGGAGCCAGGAGGGTTTCCCAGAGGAGCCAAGAATGACTTAAAGGATAAATAGAAACTGGGCTGGGAGAGAGCTCCGAGGGTGACATGTTTATCACAGACGCCTGACAACCTGAGTCTGAATCCTGGAACCCACATAAAGGTGAGAGGAAATGACAGACTCCACCAAAGTACCTGCTGACCTCCACATGTTTGAATACACAGATCTCTCTCTCTCTCTCTCACACACACACACACACACACACACACACACACACACACACACACACACGCACAACTTTAATTTTTTTTTTTTTTAATTTTTCAGACAGGGTTTCACTCTGTAGCCAGGCTGGCCTCGAACTCACAGAGATCCACCTGCCTCTGCCTCCCCAGTGCTGGTGTTAAGAATGTGCACAACCATGTCCAGACATAAACACTATACTTAAAAAAATTTTTTTTATTTTATGTGCATTGGTGTTTTGCCTGCATGTATGCCTCTGAGGAGGCTGGGGGGAAGGATTCCCCGATAGGGTGGCCCAAGAGAACACAGGAACCCAAAGAAGAATAAGGGAGACAGTGTGTGTGTGTGTATGTGTACACGTGTGTACATGTATCCTTTTGAGGCCGGCTGAGCAGCCTGGGATGCTAGAGGATGTTCTAAACATGTAGCAGGACGTGCACCTGAGTCTTGCTGACCCACACATGTACTCAGGCAGTGTAAACAGGTGTGCGGACACGCCACTCTTCACGTGGAGACACAGCAGCTACTGTTTAGAGACAGTCTTTCTCCAGTGAGAGTGTTTACCTTGTGACCCACACACTTTGTTTTCTTAAAGCCCAATTAACACTCAGCATCACTTCCTTTCCCAGATGTGTATTCTGAATCTTCATGTGTGGGTGGGTGTGTGCATCTGCCTGGAGCAAAAACTACTTCCCGTGGGCTCTTGAGTCACACCCAGGCTGACACTGCTTTCAGAATCCAGTAAATCCATTAAGAGTTGTCCAGCCTTTCCTGATGATCACAGAGCAGCCCTACTTTGCTTAACATCCAGCCAATCATTTTACAGGTCGGATTTATCATCACTCTTGGTCAAAATCCAAATATTGCTACTAATCATGTCATCAACGTGTTTTGTTTTTAAGCCCAGAGAGATATACCAGACCACCTAGCCAGAGAGAGCCCGAATCTTATTCTTGTGAGCTGGACATGTTAATCTGCATAACTAAAGGAAGCCAGGTGGCCAACGGCACCACATCCACAGCTCGGTCTCACTCGACAATAACAAATTGTGTATAAACTGGTTTCCATGGTTTATCTGTCCGCTTTGCAGGTGGCTGAGGAGATGCGGTTTGTCTCTTCGCTTGTTAAGGAGTGAGAGGCGTCACATTTACCCCCAACACATTACAGACAAGGGCTTCATAAATGTCAGGCTCTTTGTCCAAGAAAGAGGTCGGTCCTGACAGCCTGAGAAATGATGGCCTTCACTTTGCTAGCTTGCCTGTACTTCACGTTACCTTTTGTTTCGCCTGCAAGAAATATTTCTCTCAAGTGCATGCAAGATACTGATGAATTCCTTTCTGATCTGAATTCACCGAAGCCCAAAGAATACGCTCTGAGAAGTAAGTAGGTTTCCCTGTCCTTCTCGGCAGCCGAGCAAAGAACAGGCTGCCATATTTGCTAGATTAACCCATGACAATTTTAAAAGGCACCAAGCAGGAAAGAGTAGACAAACCCAAGACAGGGGAAGAATTGTCACTGCAGAGGGCTATAAAGTCAATCTAGAAATTCGATTGTAATGAGAAGATTGTTCCTAAATACTGTGGGCTTTACTAATGAAATCAATAGCATTTTACTTTGCATCACGTGCCTGGGATTATTTCCTTTTTGAGACATTTGATCTGCTTCTGATAGTGAGTTGCTTTCTTATTTACTGAAACCAGCTCATCTGTGTTGTGCTGATAGCGGCAGATTCTAAGGTGTGTGATGGAAAAATGCATGGGCTCCAGTGAGCAATGAGATCTCTTTGTGTGTTCCTTGTCTGGCCTTCAGATAGTTGCAATTTTGGTTTTTTGTGTGTTTCTCAAAATGACATGCGTACCTTTCTGCCCAACAGAGGCTGAAATCAAGGATACCTTCACTAGGAGGGAGATTCATTGTTGTTGCTGATGGAAATCATGAACAAGGAAAATGCAAAAACTCCTTTTTAAAGCCAGCTAGGCTAACAGAGGCATTTCCATTTCCATTTAGAACACACAACCCCTTTGTTCTGTCTTTAAAACCACCTGTATCCTAATAGAGAATAAAAACAGAGCATTTGGATAATTCAAAATGCCGCAACACTTGAAACGACTCCTGTTCTCCACAGGGTCAGATAACCTAGGATTTGATGAAATGGTGGCAAAGCACACACCCAGTTAGTTCCACAGCTATTTTGAAACCGATTGTGTTGCCTAACCAGACTTGGTGATTGTAACGGGGTCTGTTGCAACTGCCCCAGGCCGCTGGCCAAGAGGCTCCAGACGGTGTGACAGCGGGCGCAGATTCTGGTATTGAGATGGCAGCAGATAGTCAGAAACAGTCACAGCCACGCGCACACTGTCCGCCTTGCAAGTTTCTCTACCCATGTTCTGTCTGTAGGCACCTGGAAACCGAACATTTTCATTTTTCTCTTCATTAAAATCGAGATTTCTCAGGCCAGGGAGATCACTCAGTTCTAAGGTAGTTTACTCTGCAGCTAGACTGAAGTTCGATTCCCAGCACCCACACAAGAAAGCTGGGTGTAGGGTCCACACTTGTAATTCCTAGGCTGGAGGGGTAGAGGCAGGTAGATTCTTGAGGGTCAATGGATTGCCAGTCTACCCCATCAGTGAGTCCTAGGCCAGTGAGAGATCTGTTCCCCAAATCAAAATGGATGACTCTGGAGGGACAACATGAAGGTTGACCTTTGGTCTCCATATTTAAGTACACATGTACACCTGCATACACGTGAACATACCACACACCCCAATATGAACGGGCAGGTGACTGTCAGTTTACTTCAACGGATGATAAATTTGTCTGTCTGTAGTTGTACCGTTGCTTTGACATCGGTCTGAGAGTTTTGAGCACAGAATGTGCTGTTCCCCTTGGTTTTCATCAGGATTCTCCTGGTGGACCTATGGAAGGGGAAATCAGAAGAGTGAAAGTGAGCACTTTGATATAGTAAGTAGTAGATACCCTTTAGAAACTTGTAAAGGAATTGTCCCTTTCAGTCTCCTCAAATCCCCTTTATGGGAGGGGAGAGCTATTACTATCTAGTTAGTGAAGGAGGAGATAGAGTCACAGAGATGCAGAGGGTTTGTGTGAAATACGTTGTAGAGTTAGGGTTTGAGCCCTGTGGCATCTGATTCCAAAGCCCTTCCTTCCCCTGTCTCTGCCCATATATATCTTCCTAAACACACAAATACAACCTTCTCAGTCTGTGGCATGTTACTGATACATGTGTTTGGAGGGCTGACCGTTTGGCATTGGATAACCAATTGGTGCGCTTAGCCCCGGGGAAAACTGTTTGTCCCCCCCCCCCCCACATTCCTTAGTTGCCTGCAGTTCTTTGTGTAGGGTGCAGACCACTTTAGTGTGTCTGTTGGCATCATCCCTGTTCATCTCATCTTCAGGCAGTCCTGCTGGCGAGACTTCATGTGTGCAGCTTCTGACATTAGTAGGAGACGAAATCTCATAGCAAACTCCCCGACCCTCTGGCTATTACAATCTTCCCGCCCCACTTCCACAAGAATCCCTGAGCTTTAGCTTTGGGAGTTGTGTTGTAGATGTAGATGTTGGGTCTGGGCTCCACAACTTTGCATTTTGATTGTGTGTGTGTGTGTGTGTGTGTGTGTGTGTGTGTGTGTGTGTGTGTGTGTGTGTGTTTAATGGTTTCCTTCTATTGCAAAGAGAAGTTCCTTGATGAGGATGAAGACTACATTTATCTGTGGGTATAAAGACAAATATTTAGTATGTCCTCTGTTGATTTAGTAAAGTGGTGGTTCTAGGTTCTCCTCCAAGATCCATGACCTCACTGGCCCTGAGGAGTTGGCTGAGTTTCCAGTGCTAGGTACGATTTTCCTCTTTTTGAGCAGGTATTAAGTCCAATCAGAGAGCTGTTGGTTACTGCGAAGATACATGCCACAACTGCATCCTGAGGGTTATCATGCCATGCTGGCTGATACTGTGGTTCACAGCCATCGTAGCTGGGTAGGACTGATGGTTATTTGCTTCCTTTGGAAGCTTACAGGGTGCCTTCTGATGCCCTGAAAGATAGTCCTCCAGGAGGAGGCTTTCAAATGACCAAATCCTTACCTTTGATCATTGTCTAAAATAAGCAACCAGAAAAAAAAAAAAAGAAAGAAAGAAAAGACCAAGACAAAATGCAGCCACACAAAAAGGAATGGGAGGTACATCTATCAATACTGATCCAGCCAGAGAAATGGCATCAAGAGGGAATAAAGTACCTAAATTTAAACCAATTAAGGTAATTAAGGCTGTCTGCTGCTTAAATGCATGCAGTGCAAATGTTAAGAAAGGTATGAGAATGAGAGAGAGCATCCACCTGTAGTCTGGGGTGGCATGGCGGTGGTGGGGAGGCGGGTACAGCTGGGGCCTCACTAGATTTCAAATAATTGGCCCTGGTTATTTGTTTCAAGCAGATACCTGTGAGAACATGGGTGTTTCTGTTATTCTTTATGCCCTTTTTTTTTTTTTTTTTTGTAAAGGATTCTTTTATAAACAAGACACTATCAGCTTTTCTAATTTAGCTTTTATATTTTGAATATAGGGCACAGAGGATTGGGTTATTGTAGACAAAATACCCACTGAGGTAGTTGATGGTGATTCAAAAAAGATTGTGACTTACAAGGTGGTTACCGTGAGCAGTAAAACTGGTGAGATCCCAGCC